GCTGCTTGTCATTGCTACCGGCGATGCCAAGGTGGTTTTCATGAGCCGGACGTTCGACGTCATCACCGAAACATCGATGACGATTGATGACCTGAAGGCGTCAAAACATGTCTCCGTCGGCTGGGGTAAGAAGGAGACCCAGTTCCAGGGCAGAGGCGCCAAGGCAAAGGCCCTCCGCGACCCTACCATCCCGGAGAAGGTCGATGCGGGCGAGTTGAGTCCGCGCGACGACGGGCGTTGCACCATCAGCTGGCGGGGAGACGGCGCGTACGTGGCTATCAACCTGTTCCAGGAGGGCGTGCGCAGGGTCGTGCGCGTGTATAACCGCGATGGCGAATTGGACAGCGTCACTGAGCCCGTCGACGGGCTAGAGGGCAGTGTGAGCTGGCGGCCTGCGGGCAACCTCATGGCGGGGATCCAGCGTTTCGCTGATGGCCACGTTGATGTTGTGTTCTTTGAGAGGAACGGTCTCCGCCATGGGCAGTTTACACTCCGTGCGCCGGACAAGGGCACACCGGATGCCCTGGATGACATATCGCTGGAGTGGAACTCCGACTCGACGGTCCTGGCTGTTATCTTCAGGGATAGGGTGCAGCTGTGGACGACGGGTAACTATCATTGGTATCTGAAGCAGGAAATTTTCTGTGGGCAGTTCGGCCAACAGCTGATCCCGTGGTTTTCGTGGCATGCTGAGAAGCCGCTTCTTTTTGCTGCGTCAACCGCAGGTGAGTTCCTTTCTCCATAACAGCCTCGTGCCTGTGCAGCCGGCTAAAAAGTATCTTCTTGTTCAGACAAGGTCCTTGTAAATGAATACATCTTCACGGTCGCTAGAGGGCCGACGAGTCCCCCCCATGACCATGGAGCCGTGGCGGTCATTGATGGGAGGACGGTGAAGTTCACCCCTTTTCGCACCGCTAATGTCCCACCGCCCATGACTCTGTATGAACTCGAAGTTGAGTCTCCAGTAACTGACATCGCCTTTGCCAAGGACGGCTCGGCGATGGCAGTGCTGCATCAAGTTGGTGTAAGCTTTTATGCTTTTGAAACCAAGGACCCACGGTTGTGCTGTCCAAAATTGGCGCGCACAGCGTTGTTTGGAGTCGAGGACTTCCAGTTATATGAAGAATCTTTACTGCAAATCAGCTTCTCGGAGCGAACTGAAGTCCAGGTTCTGCAGTTAGCTGGCGATCTTGGACTGATCTCGTACGACTTTGGTGCTGCTTCTGCCCAGGACAACACGGAAGCATGGACAAAGACAGCGGTAAAGGCGGACCTTGTCGCTACCCTTGTCTCTCCTGACGATGCCTTCCCTGACGGAGTAGTCGCTCAAGATCGTGTAGGCAAGCTAAGTCGGATATGTGGTCAGGAACGGGAGCCTCTTGACCCCAGGTTTCCCATGTTTCTGCCGTGGACGAGTTTCGTGACACATGAGGATGGCCAACTCTTGGCCTTTGGTCTGTCAAGGAATGGGCAGCTGTATGCCAATTCCAGGCAGCTGGCGAAGAACTGCACGTCTTTCGTGGTCACAAATCGCCACCTCATCTTTACGACTAGCAACCACTTTGTCAAGTTTATACATTTGGCCAGCGTTGATGGTTAGTGCACCCACCACCCTATGGTTATTAAACAAAACATGACGGAAGCTGACTCTTATTTCAGATATGGATGTGCCGGCAGATGATCCGGAAAGCGATGAGCGGTGCAGGAGTGTCGAACGAGGCGCAAGACTCGTAACGGCTATGCCGACGAAAATGAGTATTGTTCTTCAGATGCCGCGTGGCAATCTCGAGACAATCTTCCCGCGTGCCATGGTTCTCGCCGGCATCAGGCAGCTCATTGAGCAGAAGGATTACGGTGCTGCATTTACCACATGCCGCACACAGCGCGTGGACATGAATATTCTCTATGATCACCGACCTGAGCAGTTCCTCGACAACGTGGGGCTGTTTCTCGACCAGGTCAAGGGTGCTGCCAATATCGATCTATTTCTATCGACACTAAAGGAGGAAGATGTAACTCAAACGATGTACAGAGACACCACGTCCGCTGCCGCGAATACTCAACCACAGCTGGATTCGAGAGTATCGTCACAGACCGGGAAAATCAACACGGTCTGCAATGCCGTCTTGCAGAGGCTGCGCACGCAGAAGAACGTTAATCTTCAAAACATTATCACCGCCAACGTCTGCAAGAACCCCCCTGCCCTTGACGATGGTCTCACGGTTGTGGCCGAGCTCATGCAAGAGGACGAGACCCTAGCAGAGCGTGCGGTTGAGCATATATGCTTCCTGGCTGATGTCAACACACTATATGACCACGCTCTCGGTCTCTACAATCTCGACCTCACCCTGCTGGTGGCTCAGCAGTCACAGCGCGATCCCCGGGAGTACCTCCCCTTTATCCAAGACCTCCACAAGATGCCAGTCTTGCGACGTCAGTTCACAATCGACGACAAGCTCGGCCACCATGAAAAGGCCCTTGACCATCTAAAGGCCCTCGGCAGCTTTGACGAGGTCAAAAACTACGTCGTCAAGCACAAGATATACAACCACGCCCTAGGCATCTACCGCCTCGAGCACGAACATCACCGTATCCTGACCGATCTCTACGCCGCCTACCTAAAATCCATCTCGCAGTTCAGAGAGGCGGGACTAGCCTACGAGTCCCTTGGCAACTTCCTGGATGCCACCGACTGCTACCTCAAAGCCGGCGCGTCCTGCTGGCGCGAGTGTCTCTTTGCCGCGTGGCAGCAGACCTCTATATCCGCCGAATCCCTATCCGAAATTGCTGGCACTCTGGCCGACGCCCTCCGCGAAGCTAAGGACTACGCCTCCGCTGCCACCATCCACATCGACTACCTCGACTCCATCGAGAGCGCGATCCAGTGCCTCTGCAAAGGCTATCTATTTTCCGATGCTCTCCGTCTCGTCGCCTTGCACAAGCGCCCAGAACTGCTCGACACAGCCGTCGACAGCGGCCTCGCCGAAGCCTTCTCCAGCAGCACCGAGTTCCTGGCCGACTGCAAGGAGCAGCTCAAAGCGCAAGTCCCTCGCATCGCCGAGCTGCGCAAGAAGGCCCGCGAGGACCCGCTTGCCTTCTATGAGGGCGAGAATCCCTTTGGTCGTGGTGCCGGCGACAGCAGCATGGACATCCCCGACGACGTCTCCATCGCCGCCAGCTCGCGCATGAGCACCAGCGCTAGTCTGTTCACGCGCTACACCGGCAAAGGCGGCAGCGTGGGCACCGTCGCGAGTAACGTCTCGAGAGCGACGAGCAAGAACCGCAAGCGCGAGGAGAAGAAGCGCGCCCGCGGCCGGAAGGGGACCGTCTACGAGGAGGAGTACCTGGTCAATAGTGTGAGGAGATTGGTGGAGCGGGTCGAGCAGACTCAAGGCGAGGTGGAGAGGTTGGTGATTGGGCTGGTCAGGCGGGGCATGACGGAGCGCGCGAGGGCGATCGAGGAGCTGATGGAGGTTGTGGTTGAGGGGTGCCGGGTTGCTGTTGGTGAGGTTTGGGAGACGAAGCAGCAGGTGCGTGCTGGACGACAAAATGAGAATGATCATGGTGGAGTGGACTCGTTCGTCGAGGGGTATCGGCCTACTGGTGGCGATGCTGTTCTGCAGGATAGTTTGGAGGCGACGAGGGCGAGGCAGGAGCCGCCTGTTGTTGAGAAGTTTGTGAGGCTTTCGATTTTGGGTGGACGGTCGTCGACGGGTGTTGGTGGGAAGAGAAGATGAAGGTAAAAGGTGGCGCTTTAGATAAATGAGGGGGAGAAGATCAAGGTATGGTCAAAGCAGGGCGAGTGTTGCCGCTGAACAAGGTGTTGAGATCTCGCAATTTAAGTCTTGCTCAAATGTGAACTTCCTACTCTTAGGAGAGAGATATCCCGGGGCTATAACTCACATGAATGATAGCCTCAGACGATAGATACACAGTAGAATAGTTGCCCTACTAACCTAGGTACCTATGTATGTATGTAATTAATGGAAGCTCCGTCCGTCCGGTATATATTACATGGATACAGCAATGGGATTGGGCAACGCAAGCCACTTTTAGGGGGTATTTACCTCATCCAGTTCTGTTCATACAGATAAGGCAGGTAGGTAGGTATTCTCATAGTGGCCGGTGTGGATGCTGGTTTGTTAACCTACAAACCTACAGGGGAACCATACCGGCCGGTATTCTGTATATCCTCGACCATCAACTCTATTTCATACCCTGCAATCCTATATCAACCTCATTTCCAACACACATAACCACATACGGCCATAGATAGTGGAAAGCTCGGGATCCCGTCCGCTCTCCCATAGATAAGCCACTAATCGCCAGACTAGTAGTTGGGTCGGTGACGACCAGCGAATCCCTGGTGCTGTATGTTTTTTTCTTCTTTTTCTCTTTAGTACTTTCTTATTCTTTATTTCGGTCTTTTTCTCTTCCCTATCCTAGTTTCTATTAATCTTAACCTCCTCTGTGACGGTCGGTGCGATTGAGCCTTGATTGAATTGATTGCGACCGTCAACGGTATATAACCCGTTAGAATTCCGAAAGTTAGCACCTTTGGTATTCTGGCATCCTTTTGCGATTGAGGGGGGTTTGGTGAAATGGTTTTGGGTCATTGCACTGGCTCGTCACATCCTCCGAAGCACCTCCTCCTCCTCTTTTCAAACTTGGTAAATATATTTACCTTTTAGTTATATCTAGGTAGGTAGGTATATATTCGCAGTTTCGGGGGGTTGGATGCGAGCTCCCTAAGGCCACAACATTATTCCTAGATCTATCTATACCTAGGTCGGTGGTTTAAACCATCATCTAAAGTCCGCAATCCTGTGTGTAGGTAGCTTTTATTGTTATTACTTAAATGGGAAAGAACAGTAAAGATAGAGACCAGATCAAGATTACTTGAAACTTTGCAGTCAGAGAAGCAGGCAGTAATTTACAGAATGATTAAGAGTAAAAATGAGGACAAAAAGGAAAGACTGAACAGTTCAGTCAATAGGTTTTGGACGAGCTAAGAATCGAACTCAGGACCTTTCGCATTTTGCTTCGTTCAAGTTATGTATCCATTCAGAAACAGAATTAATTACTTGATAAGATGCTAAGCGAACGCTCTACCAACTGAGCCACACGCCCTTTTCATTTAATGTGGAATCTGGCGTTGATATCGCGACTTGAGAACAACCGTGGTAGAGTTGTCGGGGTGGAGTTGATGCTATCATTTGTGCCTACGGAGAAGCACGTATTGTTGCTTCTGCTTTACCTACTTTGTGATCTATGTTACGAGCGAAGAAGAGAAAGAAAGGAAAAGAGTTATGACAAAGTGTGATATTGAGAAATAGAGTCAGGTAAACCGTTCTTATCTCTCCCCCGGTTGATAACACTACCCTTTATCTCAACCCCTATTTGTCTACGTATATATCGTAACTCGTATAGTACCTGGACAAAGTAAATCCTCCTCGATACCCCTATATGTTGACGAACATCTGTCCGTCCTCCACAACATCACAGTTATGAGTCCTAACTAGGTAAGAGATCATGAAAACCGAGCACCGCCGACAACAAAGAGATATATCCAGCAAGAAAGAAATTCATATCCCTCATGAAAATACAACATAGAGATTATACAATATAAATACCATAAATAACTAACAATCTCAGCGCCTCCACTCCTCCCCCCTAGCCCTCGACAACCTCGAAACCGACCTCTCCCTCTTCTTGCGATAATCATAAACAATCTCATCATCACTATCACTATCACCAGAGTGGTAATACTCGTCCGCAGCCGCAGGCCCCTTCTTCTTCCTGTCGTATCCACCACCACCCCCAAACCCAACCCCGCTATCCCTCGCCGCACGATCTCTCCCACCACCACCACTGCCCTTCCTCTCCTTCTCACCACTAGTCACATAATGATGCTGCTGCTGCTCCTTCGAGCTGGTGGTGCTCGACTTCCGTCTAGCCTTCTCGATCCTCTTCTCAATAGCATTCGCACTCACCCCGCCAACAACGGCGCCCACAATCGTTGACAACAACGCGCCCTTTTCACCGAACTGCCCATGCCCACTACCGTGGCCGCCTTTGGATGCTGCCTTCTCGCTCGCCTCGCGCGCAGCGAGTCCGCCAACTATGGCACCTAGCACGCCCACCCCCAGACCAGAAGTGGAGTCGCTGAAAGTAGACTGCAACGCGTTTCTTGCCTTGCTCTTGCTCGAGGGAGCATTATGCGAGGTCTCTTTGCTTCGGTGCTGATCATGAGCGTACGTCCGTCCATCGTCCTCCTCAGTTTCTGAGCCGTCTTCTTCAGAATCGTAGTACCTGTCCCTGTGTCTACCGGTTCGCTGCTGCACCCGGGACCGCGAACGTGGTGGGGTGACCACGATGGTTGACTGCTCGGACGGTGGAACAGATCGTGGCCGATAACGTTCCCGTACCGGGACTTGGAGAGACTGGCTGTTTTGGGGCGGTGGCGATGAGTAGAATGAGTTTCGGCGTGATGAGGAAGGGTAGTCGGCTTGGGCTATGTAGCCTGGTGGAGGCACGGGCATGGGCATTGCCTGCGGAGCTGTTGCGCCTGCCCCGCCCGAATAGTGGAAGTCGGGGGACCAGCTCCGGTCTGATGACGGGGACGGTGATCTCCGCGAGGAGGAGCGGTCGCGACGCTCGCTTCGTTGGCGGGGAGGGTAGTCTGCTACATTGGAGTCTGTGAAGCGGACCATTTTTGAGAGAAACTTATTGGTCAAGTTCGATAAGTAGAGAGGACGCCTGGGGATATGGCCTTCTTTTAATCTGAACGATCTTCAGACTTGTGGGATTTGTGAGAATGAGATATGGGGTAGTAAGGCTGTGTTTGTGATGTTTGGGGTTTAGCGGCGAGGCTGAGCATATAATACTACCGGAGCCGCCGGTCTAGATCTTTGCCTCTGAGGTTTTGTGAGCGAAGTCACGGTTATTGCGAGTCTGATATTGCCATAGATGGTATTTGGGTGAAATGAACATGCATTCTTTGAAAGTTGCGAGAAAGGGTTGGAGGTGGTGGGCAGGGGATCTGGCGGGGGCGAGGGGATTGAGGGTTGTTATATGGACGTGGACCTTCACCAGTCAAAACAACTTTCCAGGTTTCTCCGATAGAGAGGTGTATCCTAAGCCACCACTCGGTCAAGCAGGTCACCATTGGTTGATAAGACAGGCAACATGAAGCAACACCTTGTTGCCTCCCGAGCAGCGACAAGAAGAGAAAGTGAAACGAGGGAGTGAACGAGGCTCTCACTAAAGCAATGCAGGTGAGCTTCAAACTACTGTAGGTCCTGCCGTCCCGGGCGGAGGCTTGCTCGCTGAAGTGGTTGCCGTTGTCGGCGTCCCAAGGTCCAACTCGATGGAAGGGTTGAAGCGGCGCCTTCCTGGGATGCAGTGTGGAGAGAGCGGAAGCTTATGATGTCACTGATTGGACGACCAGGGACGACTTGCACACCACACTCAGCAACCACCATCGGCCTGCGGCTGCCCGTTCCATGCATTCTCCTCACCTTAACATTACCTAAGGTAAGGAGTGCTAAACGCTAAAATATGCAGGCAGCGAACTGCCTTGCGCCGCATTTCTTGTCTTCTTCCTCTGTGAATCACGGCGCCAAATCAGGCAATTCGGTAGACGACCGATACTGCCGCGTTAATTGATGATTCGCAGTCATGTACATACCTTACTCTCGGATTCATGCTCGATCCCGAAGCGAGGCAGCGAACAACAAATGGTGCGGTTTCAGCACTTTCATGTCGGTCGGGTAGTTTTGTCTGTTCCTGGCATCTGATAACTACTCTATTGGCTGGACCCAAGTATAAATGGCACATCGACAGCCTCGTTTTTGATGCAGCAACCCGGCGATAATAACTCAACTACTGCTACCTACTTTACTTACCTGCTTACCTAGGTAGGTACCTAGCTAACCTTTTTCATCTACCGAACCTACGTGTGTGCGAATCAAAAGAACCAAGGAGCTACGACTTCAACAAGGCTGCCCTGGTATCTGTGATTCCATTGTGGCTGGTTGGGTGGTCTGGACTTTTTCAAGTAAGCATCAGTCTGCCTTGCTCCCCCATCTCGTCGAGTCGCAGCCCAACCTCCCTCATGCACGAAATCGAGCCAGCCACGTCGTCGAATGACACACCACATAGCTATGCCACTCACCTAGGTGAGGTTATCAATACAAACCACCTGACCGGCTCCGTCGGGAACGTTCCCCTACGTGGCCGGTCGACATTTCCAAATACCAAATTCACAATACTCGACCATTGTCCCATGCAAAACGGGCAATGACTGGTTTCCTTATTAGACTTGTCAGCTCTTCCCCGACGTCTTACATGATGGCGTGATTTGTTCGGAGAAGCGGTGCAAGAACAGTGAGACGGCTAGCTGCCTGTCGTTACATACCCTCGCCTGACTGCCGACATCTAACCCGAACAGAAGAATCAAGATAGATCATGAAAGGTCGGAGAGGTATGTTGATCTTCTCGTCTTGCCTCGCTGTCAAACAATACAGTCAACAAGTCATGACGCCGGTGGACGCCCGATCCCAATGAAGCCGGTCAACTAAATCAAACTCCTTTTTCCTCTAATATACATCTTTGACCCCCCCAAAACGGGCGAGGCTCTCTCACAACCTCATACTGAACCATTCTCTCAGTCTCCAACCCGGCCCAGTGGCTGTCTTTGTTTCCCGTCCTAGCTACGATCATCATCGCCTTGACTGTTCTATCAAGATAAGAGAAGAGCACAGGTAAACAGGGAAAAAAAAGTAAGATGAATAGAAGATCAACACCAAAAGAATGGCAAACAAGGAGAAAAGGCAGCAAAAACACCTTACAGCACCAGGGATTATCTGGCCAATTGGAAGCCAGCGAATTGAGACAGTTGGGCGACAGCGACAGGGGCCGCGTTGTCTTATCGCAATCGCCCCTCCGGATTTCGCTGTGAATGGTTTCACAGTCGTCCTTATATTTATCTATATAAAATATAATAAACTAATTCAGTGCTTTGTCCCAGCCTTTAACATGAGTCATCTGACAAGTCGGCAGGCCGAAGAACTGTACGTCCAGTCACGACAACCCCCATCCAAGCCCCAAGTCTGGCTAACCTTTGGGTACCCCGTATTCAGGCACAAGTCTATCATTGCCTATCTCACAAAACAGAACTTGACGGCGACGGCTCCGGCTCTAAGAACAGAGCTCGATCTGGGCGAAGACCGGTTTGACAGCTCTACGGCCAAGAAGTATGAGAACCTGTTGGAGAGAAAATGGACAAGTGTTGTGCGGTTGCAGAAAAAGGTACACATGCACCTTCTCCCCCTACGCTGTATACACTGTTTAACGCATACTATCGTAGGTCATGGATCTCGAATCCCAAATTGCCGCGTTGCAATTTGAGCTTGACAATGCAACACCCGCTTCCCTGTCGACCCGCAACAAAGATGCATCTTCCTGGCTCCCCAAAGCGCCCCCGCGATATACTCTCGAGTCCCATCGGAACACCATCAACTGCATCGCCTTCCATCCTATTTTCTCTTCGCTAGCAACAGGCTCTGATGACTGTACCATCAAGATATGGGACTGGGATGCCGGCGAGCTCGAGAGAACGGTCAAAGGGCACACTAGAGCGGTCTCGGATGTTGACTATGGCGGTCCAAGGGGCAATACTCTCCTAGCATCATGCAGCGCCGATCTCAGTATTAAGCTCTGGGATCCCGTCGACGACTATAAAAATGTTCGGACATTACTGGGCCACGATCATAGTGTCAGCGCTGTACGCTTTATACCCGCCTCGACAAACTTACTGGTCAGCGCGAGCAGAGATATGACTTTGAGGATATGGGACGTGAGTACAGGGTTTTGTGTGCGAACCCACCGCGGACATACCGCCTGGGTTCGAGACGTCTTTCCATCCTCCGATGGCCGCTATCTTCTATCTGCCGGGGACGATATGACTGTCCGATTATGGGATATGTCGGCGGTTGCCACCCGTACAGAGAGCAGCAAACTGAGCCTCCTCGGCCACGAACACTACATCGAATGCTGTGCTCTTGCTCCCCCAACCACGTACCAATACCTCGCACCCATGGCAGGGCTGAAGAAGGTTCCCCCAGCGA